TAGACAGATAGATAGATAGATAGATAGATAGATAGATAGATAGATAGATAGATAGATAGACAGACAGATAGATAGATAGATAGATAGATAGATAGATAGATAGATAGATAGATAGATAGACAGACAGATAGATAGATAGATAGATAGATAGATAGATAGATAGATAGATAGATAGATAGACAGACAGATAGATAGATAGATAGATAGATAGATAGATAGATAGATGATTATGTATCGGTGCAAATAACTTCTAAAACGGGGTGTAAATGTGAGAAGTCTACTAATTTGTCTCTAATTTTTAAGTACAAAATTTGGGATTAGCTAATATGCCAATCGTACTCTGACTATTTTAGATAATTATTGTGCGAGAAGGGTGAAGAAAGCTTTGGTGTTATAAAGCGGAGCACCATTTATCTTTAATATTCCGCACGTTTATGTGGATCCATGCCTGCAGGTTTTATGCACAGCCTATTTCCAAAATGTGGAAATTTAAATAAGTATAAATAAAATCGAATAAATAAATATAAGTAGCCTATGAATAAAATCGAATGACAGAAATAAGGAAATTGTTTGATCAGTGTCAGATACACTGTAAAAAAATCCCGTAAAAAAACGGTAAAATTCCGGCAGCTGGGGTGCCGGAAAAATACCGTAAAATAACAGGCACATTAAATAACAGTAATTTTATGAAAATATTATATTATTAATGCTATATATATATATATAGAGAGAGAGAGAGAGAGAGAGAGAGAGAGAGAGAGAGAGAGCGCACTGATAAATTGGTGTTATGTGGAAAAAATCTTAAAAATATATTTTTTGGGGTGTTATGTACATTGACCTTTTTTTTTAATGTGATTTTACACTGGATTTGTAAATTTACAGTCTATTTCTGTAATTTTAAAATGTTTAACTGTATTTAAAAAATGACGTGTACGTGAAAAAACTGTAAAATAAAACGGTAAAATTCCGTAAAATAACAGTTTTTTTTTTTACAGTGAAGACAATAATAGGCCTCCAAAAATAAGACGATAAAACAAAAGGGAAACGGATAAACTTAAGAAAGAATATTTTTTATTTTATTTTAGACTAATAAATATTTGGTCTTTCAAGGCACTTCCAACATAAGGCCCATAAGTACTTCTTCTGACGGGTAACCTCCGTGTCAGATGATCTTAAAAGAGTTACACATCTACCTGCTCCACAAGAGCACGTCAGTATACAACACGAAAAACAGAACACAACCAAATATACAGCAGCTTCCTTCCGTCATTTCATGTGGCTTTAGGGAATTGGGTTCAAATGTGGCATTGCCGTGCCCATGATGATATTATAATTAATTACAGTAATAACCAAGAGTAATTAGAAACTGTTCCTCGAATTAATTAGCCTACAAAAGTACATGTTGTTCTTTCAATTTATCCAGCACATATTTGCGCAATAACCAACGCTATTATAGTAGCCTGATTTTCCCTGTGAGTTTCGTGTAAACGTTCATATTTGCGCAAGTCATTTCAAAGTGGAAGAAGCCGTCAGATTCATGTTTTTAAGACAAATAATACATCCCATAAGACACGGGTCCGTTAAATAGTCCTGGCATCGGAACGGGCCGCGGGAAAGAGGCTGGAGATCCGTACAGAGATGATGGAGATCCCAGAGGGAAGGGCAGCGCGAAGGGGGCCAGAAGCGGCTTGGAGGCGCATTTGAACTTCTCCAGCTCGGCCTCCTGAAGTCTCTTGGCCTTCGCCCTCCTGTTCTGGAACCAGATCTTGACCTGAGTCTCGGTGAGGTTGAGGGAGCTGGAGAACTCGGCCCGCTCGGCGATGGAGAGGTACTGTTTCTGTCTGAACTTGCGCTCCAGGGACAGCAGCTGGGAGGTGCTGAAGGGCGTGCGCGGCTTGCGATTAGTCTTGTGCTTGCGTAAGGTGCACGGCGGTGGGCTCGGATGACCTGGAGGAGACGGCGAAATAAAAAAAAAATATATATATATTGTTTCGTTAGAAATACGAAAAAGTCTCCAAATGCCGTTGCCTTTCTTCCTCGCGCATTTCTGAAAACCCTTCTTTCTTTCTTGCAAAATGATCTGAAATCTGGTTTGAATCTAGGCCTATCTGTGTTTTTTTTTAAAACACTTTAGCTTTATTATTTTGCTGCCAAACAGATTTTGTATGCAAATATATATATTTTTTTAAATTGTCATTTCACAATAGCAAGTATAATGTTTTTAAATAAATTATTATTTACTTTTACTGATGAATTATTAATTAGTATTGCAGTTGTTTAATATGTAATAGTTAAATATTTTTGTTGTCGTTGTTTTTTGTACACTATTATTATTATAGTAGCCCAACTGTAGCAGTTCTCTATTTAGTAGCCTAATGAGAAAGGTGTGATGGTTAGAATGTCTAAATATGGATTATTATTTTTTTTTTTGAAATATTATGTTAAAGCATTCTCTTTCTTTCTTTCTAAACATAAAACTACAAAACATTTGAATAATTTTATAAACAAACTTTAACCTTTGGCTGCCTTGCAAGCACTAGTTTTTACTGGCAAATACATATTTCTTGTTTTATCATTTTGGTAAAGGTACCAATAACATTGAAAATATGTTTCTATAAAATAACGTATTATTTATTTATAATAAAAATGTGTTATTTTCAAAAAAATGTAACAATTTCTAAATGTACAAAAGTAGATTCAAAATATAAATGTAGTACTATCTGTGAATAATGAAGGTGAAGGTGATTATGCATTAAAATATTATTATATTGACACTGTTTTGAAAGAAAATAAAACTCTGTAAATAGTTGAAACACTTACGAGGAGGAGATGTGAAAGATGAGGAGTTTGACCAAGTGCTCTGTTCCTTATCGCTTAATTCGCCACTGTCGTCGTTTAGGCTGTCCGAAACGCTTGACAAACTGTCCACAGAAACTTTGGGTTTCTCAGCAAAGTAAGTCCTTACTAAGTCCTGTCCCTGCAGTCCCAGTCTCGCCGGGGAACAAGCGACCTGGCAGCTGGATTTGGCCATCAGGGATTCAACACTGAACGGGAGGTACGTCTTCTTCACTTTATGTCCTGTGTCGGTGGTCATATCTTTCGGCTTTTGACTTACCTCGCTGTCCGAATCCGATTTCTCTTGAGCTGTCGTTTCAACGGGTCCCTTAGGAGGATTCATCGTGAACCATCCGCCGCAAGCTGTCCCAACAATTTCTAACAGGCTGTGGTCGTGCGCTGCCTCAGTACACTTATAATAGTTCGCAAACTGCGCTAAGCCAATCAGCGTGCGCGCTCTTCCAGCTGACTTGCAAAAGCCTCGATTTGATTGGTCCGAATGTCCCCCTGGGGCACTCTCGGACCAATCACAACCAACCCCTTAGAAGTCATGTGGTCAAGTTGACACCAAGACATCAAGGGGATGTTGAGAAAAATGAGTACTTAATCGCGGATGTCTTGCTGAGATGATGTATAGATGGCCTCAGGGCTCTTGACTCTTTGGAGCACAAAGTAGACCAATTTTAGCCCAATTAAACAGTGGGGAAGCGCTCAGAGTATCTGTATCCGACTGTTGAGAAGTCATTGAAAAGGCACAATGGAATTACTCCACACCAAAACTTTGGTCATAATACACGGTAAACAAGAAAACCGGAATGTCTTGTTCGCAAAGTTACAGTTTGTAAATGTTGTTGTTAAGAAATTATTGTCATGTAAGATAACAAACAAATAGAAATAAATCTAGGCTACCTATAGCCAACATATATAGATAGCCTATTTATATAGCTATTAGCTATAATAGCTATAATATTTATATATTGTACTTGAATACAGCTGTTTTGTAATAAAAAAAAGTGTGATAATCCAATTTTTTGAGCGACTAGGAAAGGCAAAATAAAATCCTGAAAAAACGACCATTTAGGCTAGCCTAACAAGTGTTTATATATATATATGTGTGTGTGTGTTTATATAGGCTATAGGCTATATAGCCTACTATAGACTAGCCTACTTGAAAAGCAACATTATTTTTTTCTATTCAAAGTTTTTTCTTTTTTTTTTTTGGAAAAAAGCATTTCTTAAGTATATGGAAACTTTTCATGGTTGCTTTATTGAGAAAAGCTTTTGTGAAGGCAGAAATTGATTCGAAAGGGCTGTAAGTTGCACAATACTTAGGCAATTTAAGGCATGTCACGGGCTTTTAAGGTTACAAAAGGCTCAGCTGAGAAGCGAGCTGAGTTTTCTTCTCTCTCATTTAGAGGGCCAGACGAGCTGCGTTTTGGAAGGCGCCAGGGACGGTGGGATCAAAAGAGAAGGTACCTCGAGGAGGAAAAGGCAACAGTTTAACTCCACTTAACCAATTGTCCTCAAAATATGTAGTCCTGAGCATAGCTCCAAGGCCAAACGGTGACGTCAAGAAAAGGAACCAGTACTTTCCCAAACCCGGAAAAAAAAAACTATTGAGAGAGAGTGAACAAACTCTCCTTAGTGTTTATAATAAGTTTGAGACTCACTTCTCTTTCCAAAACAACAAAAGAGCATGCGAACGCATGCGTACACCTACCAGTATATAAAGCAACAACAACAAAAACGGCATTTTTAGGCTATTATTGTGTTAATGTTAATATATATTTATTTTATATTTTGAATGGTTTATATTTACATAAATACTGTTGTCAATTTTTCGCGCATTCCAACTGATTGATGTCATTGTTCATTCTTGGCGGCACCTTGCACCGATTTGGCAGACGATCTCAGATGCTCTAAAATTCTCTAAATAAAAGCAGAAGGTTCTTCCTCTTACGGGTGACAGATCTGTCGTGGTGGATATGAAATCAAACGCACTGGTCTCCCTAAGCCCCCCTGCACTAAACTCCGCCAATCTAAACTATAAATAATTGAAAAGATCACGGAAGATCCGTTACCAACACGTTTGAATAGCTGTATTGACGATAATTTATGTGAACCTGATTGAGTAGACTCACTTTTGTAATTTAAGACTCGTTTGGAACGAACAGATGAGGACAAAACTGAAGCCTTAACTTAATCTAATTGGATATAGAAGAGATGCTGCTAACCTGAATGAAATGTGCAATCTCCATAGATAGAATATTTTTAGATAGATAGATAGATGATAGATAGATAGATGATACATAGATAGATAGATAGATAGATAGATAGAT